AAGTTTAAATACACCTTTTTATACATTTACATGTTAAAATATGCAGAGGGTACAAATTGCTTAATAAAAACTGAAGAACTCTTATCTGACTCTTTGGATGCTTTTTAACGTCACATATGCACAGGCATTCTGCAAAATTACTCACATTCTCCCCAGTCATATTAATCAGCTTTTAATAAAACTATCTCATGCAATCACAATTTTTAAAAGGCTTGTGAAGTCCTTTGTGTGCTGGAACAGAAGTAATAAAGTAAGCCATTATGACCTTAAGATAGTTTTGAGGGTTCTTTTCTTGGTTTTGCCTTTTGTTTGTCAGTTTTTAAAATAAAGGGTATGTGTAAGAATATTTCAGAATCAATGCTCAAAGTTTTTCTTCCATAGGTGCATAGAAAACCTGAATTTGCTGTTTATGTCAAGCAACAAATAGAATCCTCTAAAAAACATAACTTAGTTTATCCAACTGCAGATTGAATAAACACTCTGCATTAAAGATTAGGGTGCAAATTTACTACAGTTATTTAAACAAACTGCATCATGACAAATATCTGTATAACATACAGACATCCTACATATGTAAAATGAAATTCAAGAAAAGGAATATCATTTTCCTTTTTTTTTTCCCTGAAGGGGGTGGAAGTTTTTATTGCTGTATAAAGCAGCCCAAAAGATTCACACCTGCTTTTATTACGATATCTGCGAATGCTCAGCTTATGTATACTTTCCAAACACTTAAAACATAATCATCATCATCATCTTACATAAAACCCCCCCAACCTCAAGACTGGAACACCAAATAAGCAAACAAGAAATAAGCAAAGATATTGAAATGGTAAAATTAACCTTGATATATAAATAAATTCTTCTACACAATTTGTAAGAAACATTTAACTTTAGAGCAATTACAAATGAACTTAGACACTAATGCATCTTTTACATCAATCTAAGTATGTTTAATACCTATTAACACTTGAGAGCTTAAGAATGAAAAATAAAGCTAAAGCCCAAATCAGAAGTTAAATAACCCAATGCATCTACAACAAGATAACCATTTGCAGATTTTTATACAAGAACCCACTTTTACCACATGCTAAGTTTTATGGTGAATTTTGCAACACTGGCAGATAATTTCAACCTTCTGACACCTTCCACCATTCTTCCCCCCGCAACGTTTCATGCCTTTCCAAAATGCTGCATTTGGTAATGCTCAAACCTCTGAGTGCCCAAGTAAGCAGCACTGGCTCAACTCAGCCCCTCTCTGGGGTGACACCACTCACAGGAGCCACCTGCACCAACCCTGGGTGACATTAATGAAGGAGAGTGGCTCAGGGAGCCCAGCGGGCAGGACAACTGTGACAAGGACATGTGGGATTACAGAGCCTGGCAAAATGCATCTGCATCATGCTGGGATTAGGAAGGAAGGAGATAATCCACTGGAGGGGGTTTTACTGACTGCACACATTTGAGCAGACAGGGGAGGCAACAATTTTATTTGTAACTTGGCAAGTAGGTAGGAAGGTAACAAGCCTTGTCTTTGATCCCCAGACCAATACATGAGCTTGTTCTGTGCCACACATCAGGACTCCAGAACAAGCTAGGTAATTCCACCTTCTGAAACACATCCCACTGCAAGAACTCTGTCCACAAGGCACCATTGCCACATTTAATTACTACACTACCCACTGGTAATTATTTTCTAAATCTGGCTCTCCAGATTTTTATGGTTTTTATGCCAAAACTGTTGCTGCTCCCTAAAACTACTGAAACGGCATAGTGACATCTAATTTAAAGGGTAGACAAGATGAAGTCTAAAAAAATCCCAGCATTTCAAACAAAACAAGTTACATATCGAAACAGTTACATATAATGCATATATAAAAAACCAAAATTATCAAAATGAGGAATGAAACTGTATTTCACTAATACAAGAGCAAACAGATTACATCAGAATTATTCAAAACCCACAGTTGCAGACCAAAAAGCTCCAGAATTAGACATGCACATTAAAGAAATCTAACCTACTAAAATTACTGCGTGGTATTACTCTGGAGCTTCAACTAAGAAGTAACAGCAACAGGTGTATAAATGAGACATCATTGTATTTGGAATTGTCAACTAGAACAAAAGTAACCTTAGTGATAGGGGTCTTTTGGAGGGAAAGAGGTGTAATTTCCTCTACCATTCAGTTTGAAAAACTTAAAAAGGGTAAAATTAAAAAAAATAAGAAAGATAAAACAAAAGCAGTAAAACGTTATAAGCAAAACCTAATAAAACCATGCTAGGCAAAATTTTTTTACTCCTTCAATTTCAACAAAAAAGGCACTTAGATACTTTTCTTGGCTGAGGACGTCAGGAAAAGGTCAAGATCTGTAGTTGTCAAAAACCTCCTCCATCCTCTTAAAATCAACTTGAACTTTCTCCTCTTCCTTCCAGAGGAGTTGAGTTTTTGTTCTTACTCTGGAGAGAGCTGATTTCCAACCTCCAGTCTCCACTCCATACCATTGTACCATTTACTCCTGTAAATCCAGTTTTTCCTAAGGGCTAAAACTGCAGGTGCTTAGAGCAAAGGTCCACATCATAGAGCTACCCTGGCTTTTATTGCACAAATATCCCATACCTTTCTATATGGAGGCAACTGATTTGGCAGACCAGTGACAGCAGAGAACATCATTGAACCTGACTTCAGCAAGGCCTGAAGTGCTCCAGTGTCCTTCAAGCAGATTGGAAACATACAGACACAGACCAGACAAGTAGACAATAAGCTTGGAAAAAAACACCAGACTGGAAAGGCTGTGGTGAGTGACACAAAGTCCAGCAGGCAGCTGGTTACTGGGGGTATCCCCCAATTACTGACACAGGCAAAAAATACACTTCCAATATGTCTGCAGATGATATTAAACTGGATTTGTTCACTCTTAAGGTATGACAACTAAAGGGAGAAATTCTACTGCTTTGTTCAATTAGCTAATGAAAAGATAGATAGCTAAGATGGCACCAGGCTCCTTGCAGTGATAGGGCACAAGGTAGTAGACAAAGTTCCAATAAGTAAAATCCCAAATAGATGACAGGGGAAAAAAAAATCACCACAACAGACATCAAACACCAAAACAGACACCCAGAGAAGCTGTGATATCTGCATCCTTGAGTATTCTGGAGTACTAATGGAAGAAAGCTAGAGGACTGCCACCTTCTCAAAATTTCTATCCTCTTTAGAGGACAAGCTAATTAATAAAACTTAAGAAAACTACTGAAAATCACAGAATGTGAATACTAGTAAGTTAAAGACCTAAGTTAAGAATACCTTATAGTGTATTTGCCTTCTTGTTTCTTTTTAAAACAGAGTTTTAAAATGTTGAAACATCAAGCTTGTTCCAGAATTTGTCTGCTAAAGGTCTTAGTAACACATGACAGCACAGTCCTACAACATTCATCTGTTCTGAAAAGTAGATGCAAGTCATCACTCTGCTTTTGCCTGCTGTGCTGTGTGGCATGTACTATGAATTCACGTGTTTTTCTGCCTTCTTTGTGAACTATGTATTGGAGAACCTCTATTGAAGTTGCTGAGGTGAGAATTGTGAGGTGAGAAGACATTTACAATACTTCTTCTATGTAATCTTCCCTCTGCAAGGAGAATACCTTATTTCAATATCTAAATGTCAAAGTAAAAGAAACTGCACAGGATTATTATCTCCATGCTATAGTTGGAGCAGCAGAAAATTGACAGTTAAATGACTTTCTCAAAGTCAGAACAAGTAGCTGAATAAAACACAAGAAATTAATACAATATTTCCAATTTCCAGTTTTTCTGTTGTCAGCAAGAGAGATAAGTAACCTCTCGTCTTCATGGTGCTCAGTGACAGAACACAAAGGAATGGCCTGAATTGTGGCAAGAGAGGTTTAAGTTGGATATTAGACAAAGGTTTTTTACCCAGAAGGTAGCTGGGAACTGAGACAGGCTCCCCAGGGAAGTGCTCACAGCACCAAGCCTGACAGAGTTCAAGAAGTGTTTGGAAAATGCTCTTGGGCACATGGTGTGATTCTTGGAGAAGGTGCTGTGCAGGGCCAGGAGCTGGACTCAGTGATGTTTGTGGGGTCCCTTCCAACACACAATATTCCAAGATTATGTCATTGGCCAATAAGAGAGAAAATAAATATACACATACAATGTGCTTCTCCTTTTATTTGGCAGCTTCTAGACACTTATGGTCTGAAATAGCTGGGGACAGATAGATACAATAAGAAAATGAAAGCTGCTTAAGAATGCAATGTAAGAATGCATTGTTTCACACTAAATTAGACTTCCCCCATCACTGTGCTACTTCTTTTCCATTTCTAGATTCATCATCCCCTCATTCCAACACAAAAAAAAGTTTTCCTGATTGCTAAGTAGAAGATGACATGAGCACCTACGTCACTTACAGAAAGAAGTCAACAAACACTTTTTGAGCTTTATCAAGTTTCTTCCTACATTAGCATTAAAGGCAATTTAAAACAATATTTGAAATGCTTATGGAACATTTAGCCAAACTCAGTCATGAATTCCTCACATTTAGTGAAGTTGGGGTAATTTTAATTTTACATGCATGCAGCCCTAAACTGCAGATCTGACCAATGAGTCACGGCCTCCTTTCCAAACCCATCTGCTGTTTTGCAGGCCAGACAAAGTGGTCAAGCTTCCTTTGGCCAGCAGAATAACTAAAAAAAAATGAGCTCTTCCAAAGTGGTAACAGACTGACTTTCCACCAAATTATCAACTGATAATCAATTGGCTATCAATTGGCAAGCAAGAGCTCTGAGACTCTTGTCCCTTCTAAAGTTCAAACACCAAGTAACAGAAGGAAAAAACCAAAGGTGCTTCCAAAGCAGTTCATGGGACATCCTGGCCCAGCTCAGCTAAGATCAGTGACACCCTTTTGCAAGGCTGAAGCAGTCCAATAGCTGGGCTACTGGCAGGCAATCCACCCAGCAGAACACACAGATAAATTGCACTTACTCCTCCTTACCTGATATGCGTTGCTGGTAGGGACTCATACTGGCGAGAAAGGAAAAGCTCTCTGTGCTTCAACTGATGTTTCTGTTTATCAGTCAAATCAACCTCAATTGTAGTTTCAGACTCTTCTTCAACTTCTTCTGCAGAGAAGCAGAGCGTAGGTCGAAATTAACTGTGTTGCATAACATCATTGCAGCCATTTCATTTGACATCCCCCCACCCCTTAGCAACCTCCTTTAGTATTTCAAAGAAAAGATGAGTTTAACAAGACTACAGTTTATGTAACTTGACAGAATGTTAAGTATTTTGAATTATAAACTTCTACTTCAACCCTTTAAAAAAATTATGCACTTCTCTGTACTACGCATTGATGTCTTTCACACAATTTAAGAACAATCCTGTCAACATTACTCATTCTTTTTTCATCTTCATTCCTCTGCTTTTTTCTTTTGCTTAGTGACCAGTCTTGGGTTTGACTTTCTTTTGCCAATATTACTACTACTAAAACTTTTACAGAAGTCCTGGAAAAAGCAGACTTTCTATGAACTGAAATTTACTAAGCATAATTGAAGTCCAAGACTGCAAAATCAGTCTAAGAAAACTGAAAAAGTCTAGTGTCTTCCACCTTCTTCAATACTGACAACAAATGCAGTGAATTTGCATATTTAAATAAGATTTGAAGTTGTTTCTATTTCAAGCAAGATGGGAAGAAATAAAAGCAGACTAGAAAGAGTCTTCTATAGAATTGAAGGGCAATGTTCCCAGTGCTTGCTAACATGTCACACAATGCCAGGCTCTCCAAAAGAGCTATCCTGGGATCTTGAACTTCTAATTCTTCTTCTAGAATTTTTGGGAAATGCAACTTGAATCTGTACTTCCTCTAGCTTCCCAAAAAGGGCAAAAAGTCTCTCTGAACAATGGATGCAAAAATACAGACCCTTTAAAAACTTCTTTAAGATTTGGCAACTTTCTACCTGGTAAATTATCCATTATCTGCAGAACCAAGTGTAGTTTACAAAATGTTTCTCAGAAAGTCAACAACAGAACCTCAGCATGAGATAGTATTTCATGTAACTACCTACCACAGAGGACCTCACCCGCTCTACTAATAATAACCATTTTTACAACCAACCTACAAAGACTATTTCAAATTGAAGCCTGCCTGCATCCTCATAGCAACCAGAGTTCTCTCCCCAAATGCAACACTACTACTTTTTTAAATTATGCCTGTGTGTAGTTCATTCCTCTTCTAATAGCTCTTTTCACAAAAGTGATGTAACAACATACCCTGATATAACCAACTTCTTAAGCCAAATTCCACTTCAGGTATTGCTGTAGACACCCCCATCCCCTTCCCTGTTTTGGCATGTTTTGAGGAGAAAGAGAGTAAGAAAACAAAAGAAAACAAAAATGAAAACAAGAATTTCACCCATCTCACCTGAGAATACACAGCCTCACTGGGTATGTGTACAGATTCAAGTCAAACTATAACTTGATTCAGAATTATTTTAGCATCTATAATACTGACAATAAATAAATCTTAAAAGAAATCTATGTCAAGGTGAAGCATTTTTTAATTAGGCAAATAGTTAATTAAAAAATAGAAATTCATGTTAAAAGGTTTATCTTTGTGCTGTGTTTTGGATTTGTGTAGGGAACAGTGCTGATAACACAGGGATGTTTTTGTTATTGCTGAGCACAGCTTGCCAAGCCAAGGCCATTGCTGCTCCTCATAACAGCCCATCAACAAGGAGGCTGGGGGGGCACAAGGAGCTGGGAGGGGACACAACCAGGACAGCTGACCCCAAGTGATACCACATGGCATCATGATCAGCAGATAAAGCTGGAGGACAGAAGAGGGAAGTGGGGACATTTGCAGTGATGATGTTTTGCCTTCCCAAGTCACTGTGGTGTGTAACAGACCCTGGCTGTCCTGCGGATGGATGAACACCTGCCTGCCCATGGGAAGCAGTGAATTAATTCCTTGCTTTGCTTTGTTTGTTAATTCCAATTCACTCCCCCATCCCACCTGGGGTAGTGAGCCAACAGCTGTGTGGTGGTTTTTGCTAGTTGGGGTTATACCATACCAATGTTTCCAGCAATTAATTTCTACAACTGTTTATTACAGTAAGTGACCACTACAAGCCTCATTTTGATTGTCAGATTCAAACACTAGTATTTCTTCTAGCTACCTTGGGTTTAGGGCTTCTTTCCTAAGTAATTTAGGCATCCAAACAGAAGTTTTGTCAACATATAAAAAACATCTGACTGCAGATAAGGCACAAAACACTGAACAATATTGGCTATTTTAAAATTGTTCCAGGAAGCCAGAGATGATATTCCAGAGTTTAAAATGGCTTTAGACATCTATGCTTATCTCAATATCTTCCTCAATTAAGAACTTAAATTTAAAAAATTAAGAAGAAAACCCACCATCTTTAAACAAATTTATTTCACTCATCTTACATAAGACATGAAAATGTTGATCCAAGAGCCAGAAGCTGAAACCAAATGTCTCTTAGACCTACCTCTTAAAACACTGTAAACATGAAACAAGGTAAATTTTTCTGTTGTATTTTTAGAAATAAAGTAGATGTTTTACACAGGATGGGCAATAAGTAGAACAAACCATTGCCAGACACAGAACAGTTCCATCCACTCAATACAACTTACCATTGGGAAAATGTTACCATTTCCTGCTTCAGCAATAAAATATAAAACCAATGTTAACAGTAGGATTTAGTCAAACAAGTAATAATTTGTCCCAGCAATCATACAAAGCTGTACTAGGGAAGGAAACTGGATAGCAAAAAGAAGGGAGGAAGCTAAGCTTGCCTGATGGCAACACAAAGAATTCTGCATCTGAAGAAACCTCCAGTGAGCTGCTTTTGAAGCAGGTTTTTGCAATTATCTAGCCTTAATACCCATTAAAAGGAAAGTGGTAACAATCTTGCAGAACTTTTAAAGATTTCCTCACATCTTTGACTTGATTTACAGCACATGTGAATTTCATTTGCCATTCAAGGAGAGATTATTTCTACCAAAAGGAGTGAAACAGAAGGTACCTACAGGAACTCATAAAGTAGCACCAAGCTAAGCACATTTCAGCACTCAGGAAGGGAAGAAAAGCAATAGCTCAGAGTGAGCAAATATTCTTATGTAGCAATATGGTGATGACATACAGAGACCTCATTGTTCCATGACAAAAGAGACAAAAAAGTCAATTTAAAATTAATAGGTATGACTCCAAAGACGAGTACCTCATATATACATATAATCACATTTTGAAAATTACACACTCCTTTAGGCCTTGAGCAAAATTTAAGATAATGCTGTTTTGTAGCACTTTTCCCAGTTTACAATAAATATTTCATTATTTAAAGAAAAAACGCTAGTGAGAAAAAGCAGACATAACCAGTGAGCTTTTAAAACTTGTGGGCTATTTATTATATGTAGGCTCTCTAATCATCAGTGGTAAATAATTACTGTGACCCTGAAAATCAGAGGGATCTGGTGATACTTTCAGGGACAGCACTGCAACTTTCCCATCTGATATGAGACTTGACTGACTCAGTTAAGCAATGGATACTGGAAAGAAACTGTAACCCTCACTCATTTTAGATATGCATCACCACTTTTAAATATGATGCACATTCTTTTTTCCCTCTTCCATTTAATTTGTGGGATTTGCCATTAGAAAATGGTGGTGTTAGAGAGCCTGAGAAGAAGACAAAACTGTCTGTGCCACCTAAACTTAGTATACAGTATCTCTGTTTTATGTGATGAGTCAAGCTTGCTATGAAGAATTGCTTGCTTCTGCAACTAAAATGAAAATAAACTGAGGAAAAGTCTCTAGAAATACAATACTCCTATTTAATAAAAAATTATTTTAAAATATTTTTTTTAAGTCCTGAAAGACATTTAAAGGTTTAAGTGCAGCTCCAACAACTGTATAGTTAATCATCAGCTAGCAAAACAAGGTCAATTCCTTGGACATACTACTCTCCCTTAACTAAATCAAAATAACCCCCCATGTGTTCCCCTTGTGTACTGCAACAGAGTAGGAGAGATTAGTTTAAACATTGAAGACTATCTTCAGAGAGAAGTAAATCTTCAGTATTAAAAGAAAGAAGAAAGTTCTCCCTCTATTGCCACCAAAATGCTGACAGTATTCTTTCCAGCTAGAGTTGGAATCTGGAAATTCAACCAAAAACAATGGAAACAGAGTAATTCAGGATGGAAGAGGCCTCAGGAGGTCCCTTGCAAAAATCATACTTCAAAATAGGCTCCACTGTAAGGTCAAGCCCCTGGTACTCAGTAACTGAAAATCTCTGAAGACAAACACATAACCTCTCCATCCCCCAGTAATGGAGAAAAACTTCTACATCTATATAATCTGAATCACTTTCATTTCAATTTAGTCACTGCTGAGAGTTCAATTCCATCTTCTGGTTTATAACCTCCATAGGCACTGGGAGTCCACCTGTTCTCCATATTGAGAAAGGTAATTCCAGCTGACTCTCCTAGAAAGGCAAGTTCCCATCATGATGGTTTTTTGCTGAATGCATTCCAATTTATCAGCATCTTTCCTTTTATCAGGAACCTAAAAACTGGATGCAATATAATTCCATGTAATGCAATGGGTTCTGAATAATCAGGGAGGATAATCTCTTGCCTTGATCTACTGGCTATGTGCCTGGCCATACAGCCCAGGATGCTCTTGACCAACTCCCTTCCTTGTCAGGGAGTTGTTTGTGGGCAGCCTCAGGGCCCTTCCTGAAGAGCTGCCCCCCCAAGCCCCCCTGTTCTCAGCTTGTGCTCCTCCCAGGAGCTCTTCCCTCCCAGGTGCAAGACTTGGCATTTGAACATCTTCATGTTCTTGACATAGCACTCCTCCTGCTTTCTAGGAATCCCTGAACACCAGCCCCTCCCTCAAGCCATCATCTGGTCACCCCTTCATTCTTGTGTCACCTGCAAACACGGTAAGAGTGCACCACATTGCCTGCTCCACATGTCCTGCTAAAGACAGGTCCCCATGGAGATTCCCACGAGACTCCACACACAGTGTGAACACTTAACCACCATGCTCTGACTCAGCCCGTGCAATTAGTTTTTTATTCACCTAGCTGTCTCTTAATCC